CCATACCTTGCTAGTCGTGGAAAGCGCTGACGTACGTTCAAAGAGTTGCCGTCTCAGAACGCTGACGCAAAGTATGAACTCATTCCTAATTAGGTATAGACACCGTACTCTCTGTAAACCATTGAACTGATTGTCCTTATTAATACTTAGGACGTCACCTAAAATTTTGGGCGCGACTATCCTTTGTAGAAGGCGGTACATGTTGTCAGCATACAATTTCATAATTATTTATTTATTTATCTTATCTTATTCACACCATAAGGTGTGCCACAAATTGCTACACTATAATAAACTCGCTGAAACTTAATATTTCCACTAAACATTAAGACAGAGAGAAGGAGCACACGCTATTCATACTACTTCCTGAGAAGAGGAAAAAGGTTATAAGTAAAATTATATTTACTTATAACCTTTTTCTATAATTATACCCGAAAAGTTCAGATCCTTTGTGCATCACCACACTCATGGCGTGCTTTCTCTTTGATAGGGCTGAGTAAAAGTAGGCGAATTAGTCCACAGCAAAGGTGTTCGGGTGCATTTAGTCTGGCTGAAATTAAGGTAGTGTATATTTTATCTTTCGTTCTTGGGGTCCCTTCAGACATACAATTTTTGACGATTTTGTTCTATCTATTTCTCTTATTCTTTGTTCTGAACGGAGAAGTAATGAAAGCAAAAAATGTAATTAAGGTGTACATGGGGCAAGTATGTCAAGCCAATGTTGGACAGGCACCCGCTAGGCAAGCTGCGCTTGGTGCAGGTGCGTTGCGATTTAGTCAGTCTGTTTCCATTCCGGATATTTTTCTCGTGGTCTCAGCTTATTAGAAAAAGGTCACAGAAAAATGCCTTATGAGTGATAATACTCAGGTCTGAAAGTTTCAACCATTGTCACTACTGTGAACAAAGTCTGCTCATCGGGTCTTAAGTCCATAATGCTTGCTGCTCAACAAATTCAGACGGGTCAACAAAACGTAAGGAATAATCTCTTTTTTGTCCAGACATCAAAGTGCATTAGATTTTTCTCATGTTGCATCAACAACCTCTTTTAGAAGCTTCAATAGCATGAACTGCAGCTTGTCGTACGAAATAGCTGAGTTTCTCTTTAGATTGTAATTCTAATTCTCAGATTGTCATTGGAGGAGGAATGGAAAGCATGTCACAAGTTCCTTTCTACTTGCCTCGTGGCGATACAACGTACGGTGGTATGAAGCTGCTGGTAAGTTTTGCAGTTTTGTTCATGTTTTCTATCGTTTTGTTAATGAGTTTCTTGAGCTGCGGCCAGACTTCGCGATCAGGCGCTACCATAGCGGCCGTGCTCCAATGCTTTAGACAGAAGGTACCCACAGACGGGTATTGGTAGGCTCTGACAGCTAGTGTTCTGAGAAAGTATAGGAGAAAAGGCGCTCCCTAAACACATGGTATTGATGAGCTACGGCCGCTAGTTTTTGGAAAAGCTGATAAGAATAGGAGGGTATGCCTGCTCACAATTGAGCGGCTGCGTATCGTTCTGTCCTATACACTCAAATCACCAGTTCCCGACGCCGATCCATACCTGCCTACAACTGCGTTCCCGCTTATAGTATTTGAGTGCTACTAAATCGTAGCGCAACGACCCGGTGAGGTCTGAACAGAGGGACTTCGGACTCCTTGTGTCCTTGTGGACATGAAAAAATTTGGTATGCGCATAAGGGAATTTCTTGAACTGCCTAGTCAAGTCATTTCCCTGTAACCGTGGTATTCGGACGTTGCTGGAGAGGTGTCCCGTATATCCTGTCAGCTCGCTCGGTAATTTTGTAGAATCTTGTTTAGCGCTGTAATGCCACGAAATCACACATATCTTTATCTTGAAATCATAGTATATGCAAAAAGTGGGGGAAGGTGTCGAAGAAATGGTTGCGTTCATTGAGTGGAGCACTTCTGCGAACTGTGGAATATCCTTTTTGCATGAAATAGAGTTTCATTCGCCAACCACCTCGGAAATTAATGGCAGTAGTCCTGACACTGATTTTATTCGCAGAGCCGCTCATCCGCACAACACTGCAGGTACTGCCAGTGTACCTGCAGTTTGTGGCGAGAGGCGGCGAAAAAAACGCCTGCGGACGTGTACTGTAGTGTTAGGTAGCTAACAAAAACCGAAGCAAATGACACTCGGGCGATTTCATAGCTTTACATTGGATTTCATTAACACGTTGACGACATCCTGAGCCACCGGTGGCTCATGAGTGAGTGGCCACGTGGGACAATCTGAGAGCCACCGGTGGCTCATGACTTTCTCCATCACTTTTTGGGTTATTGCCGGCAGTCTCAATCGATCTTTTTCTTGCTTTCGAGTAACCTGTGGAAGGTGAGTTTCCAACAGGGATGAGCAAGAAAAATGTTGCTGCCCCATGAGATATTTTGAATTAAAAATTGAAATTTTTCAACTAGCTACTGCTGCGGCAGAAACCTCCAAAATAGTTCTTTTTGGACGAAACCTTGGCTGCAGGGACTGCGCGGGTCTTTGATCATGAACGTGAGATCTCATTTGTCATTGGCGCCATATGGCGCCAGTAGGCGCCACTTTGGCGCCAGCGATCTTTTTGACACCGAATTTGATAGAAACCTCTACACCTAGGTTATTTGACATCCTTGTCACGAATGTATCGTTGCCTTCCAAAGTTGGCGCCAGCGATCTTCTTGGCACCGAATTGGGTACAAACTCGAACACCTGGGTTATTTGGCATCCTGGTCACGAATGTATCATTCTTTCTCAGTATTAACGCCGTTTGGTGATCTTGAGATGGTGAACAAGTGATAAAATATGGATAGTGGAAATAAAATATGGATAAATAGTGATAATAAAATATTGCTAGAAATCGCGAAAATCGATCTAAAGTGGGCGGAGCTAAGTGTGCGGAGCCTTATGCATCTTTGTGCAATTGCTTGTCTGTGAGCAATATGTGAAGAGTGTGTTTGAAAGCGTCAACGTTGAGATAAGGTATGAAAATTAAATATAAAACAAACCTGTTAAAAAGTGGGCGTGGCCGGCTATGTGTCGGTGTGGCCATCTATGAATCATTGTAATGTGTGAAAAGCAGAAAATTCCAAGAAAATTCTTAGAAACGGAAGTTATGGAACACATTTTGGAAATCACGATCGCGCTAAAAAGTGGGCGTGATCGCAGAGGGCGGG